AAATTAGATAAGGGACACACAAAATAGAAAGATGTAAAATATGACAACATAAACATTAAACATGGAGGGAGGAATAAAAATGAAGTTCTTTTAGAATGTGTTTGAACCTAAGTGACCATCAAATTAAGACTGGTATATACTTAGCATGTTATAAAAAGAACCTTATGGTAACCACAAATCTGAAACCTATAATAGATATACAAAAAAATGAAGAAAAAGTAAGGGAAACAAAACACTAATAAAGTCAGTCATCCATCCAAAGGAAAGAGAGCAAAAGAAAAAAGAAACACAGAACAACTACAAAAACAAGCAGAAGACAGTTAACAAAATGGCATAAGTATATATGTATTAATGATTACTTTGAATGTAAATGGCTTGAATGCTCAAAAGACATTGTGGTGGGGGTGGAGGGAGGGTTGGGAGGAATGGATAAAAAAAAACAAGACCCCTCTATATGCTGTCTACAAGAGAGCCAATTCATATCTAAAGACAGATTGAAAGTGGAGAGAGGGAAAAAGATAATGCCATGCAAATGGAAGTGAATATAAAAAAACTGGGGTACCAATACTTAGACAAAATAGAATTTAAGACAGACTATATTAAGAGACAAAGAAGGGCATTACGTAATAATATAGGGGTTAATCCAAGAAGAAGACACAACAATTGTCATTATCTATGCACCCATCATTGGAGCATATACTTATAGACATAAATGGAGAAATTGACAGTAAAGTAATAATAGGTGGGGATTTTAACACCCCACTTATATCAATGGATATATCATCTAGGCAGAAAATCAGTGCCTGCTGACACATTAGACCAGATGGACTTAACATTCCATCCAAAAACAGAATACACATTCAAGTACACATGAAACATTATTCAGGAAAGATCACATTATGCTACAAAACTAGTCTCAATAAATTTAAGTAGGTTGAATTCATGTCATGCATCCATTTCTAGCCACAATGGTATGAAGCTAGAAATCAATAACAACAAAAGAATATGAAAAAAACACAAACATGGAAGCTAAACAACATGCTATGAAACAACCAAGAGGTCAACAAAGAAATCAAAGAGGAAGTAAATATAGAGAGACAGCTTAACAATGTTCCAAAATCTTTGGGATGTAGCAAAAACAGGTATAAGAGGGAAATGTATAGTGATAAAGGCCTACCTTACGAAACGAGGAAAATCTTAAATAAATAGTATACCTAAAAGAACTAGGAAAAGAAGAATAAACTAAGCCCAAAGCCAGTAAAAGGAAGAAAGTAATAAAGATTGGAGCAAAAATAAATGAAATAGAGACTTAAAAAATAGAAAAGATCAGTGAACCAAGACCTGGCTCTTTGAAAAAAAGAAGTAAATTTGATAAAGCTGTAGCCAGATACATCAAGAAAAAGGGAGAGGACCTAAATAAATAAAACCAGGAATGAAAGAGAAGTAACAACTGATACCACAGAAATACAAAAGATTTTAAGAGACTAGTATGAAAAATTATATGCCAACAAATTGGACAACCTAGGAGAAATGGATAAATTCCTAGAAACATACCATCTTCTAACACTGAATCAGGAAGACATAGAAAATCTGAATAGACTGATGACCAATAACAAAATTTAAAAACTCAACATACTGGGGCACCTGGGTGGCTCGGTTGGTTGAGATCATGGTTTGTGAGTTCGAGCCCTGTGTCGGGCTCTGTGCTGACTGCTCAGAGCCTGGAGCCTGCTTCTGATTCTGTGTCTCTCTCTGCCCCTCCCCCACTCACGCTTGGTTTCTCTCACTCTCTCAAAAATAAATAAAAAAGAAAAAAAGAATTAAAAAAAAAACAAAAAACATACAAAAGCCAGGGCCAGATGAATTCACAGGTGAATTCTCACCAAACATTTGAAGAAAAGTTAATACCTATTTTTCTCAAACTTCCAAAAAATAGAAGAGGAAGGAAAGCTTCCAGATACATTCTACAAGGTCAGTATTACCTTGATATCAAAATAAGACAAAGACATTACAAGAAAAGAAAACTACAGGCCAGTATCCATCATGAATCTAGATGCAAAAATCCTCAATAAAATATTAGAAAACTGCATTCAACAAAATTTTTAAAAAAATTATTCACCATGATCAAAGATCATGGATTTATTCTAGGATATCAGGGCAATCCTGTATTCACAATTCAATCAACATGATACACCACTTTAAACAAAAGTGATGGATAAAAATCATATAGTCATGTCAACAGCTGCAGAAAAACGCATTTGATAAAATTCAACATCCATTCATAACAAAAACTCTCAAAGTGGGTGTAGAGGGAACATACCTCAATATAATAAAGGCCATATATGACAAATTTACAGCTAAAATCATACTCAGTGGAGAGAAACAGAGCTTTAAGATCAGTAAAAAGACAAGATGGTCTTGTTCTTGCCGCTTTTATGCAATATAGTACTAGAAGACCTAGGCACAGCAATTGGACAAACAATGAAAGGCATTCAAACTGACAAGAAACACGTTAAACTTGTCACTGTTTGCAGATGACATGGTACCATATGTAGAAAACATGACTTGACCAATAACTGTTAGAATAAATGAATTCAGTGAAGTTGCAGGATACAAAATTAATATGCAGAAGTCAGTTGTGTTTCTATACACTAATAATGAAGTAGCAGAAAGCAAAATTTACAAATTAACATAGGGGTGGAAAGAGAGAGGCAAACCATAAAACAGACTCTTGAGGGATGCTGGAGGGATGCTGGAGGGGAGTTGGGCAGGGGATGGGTTAAATAGGTAATAGGGACTAAGGGGGGCAGAAATAGATCTGTAAAGACAGAGATCAAACTGATGATCATTGCCAGAGGGGAGAGTGGTGATAAGATGGAGGTACAGCCTTCCAGTGTGGAATAAATAAGTCACGGGAATAAAAAGTACTAAAAAGTACAGCATAGAGATTATAGTCAATGGTATTGTAATAGCATTGTAGAGTGAGATGTTAGCTCTAGTTGCGGTGAGCACATCATAAGGTAGAGAGTTGTGGAATCACTATGTTGTACACCTGAAACTAATGTAACATTGTGTGCCAACTATACTTCACTAAAAAATGTCACCTTACAGAAATACTTTTTTATATGTACTCTCCCCTACCTCTCTAGTTTTTGGAAACAGATTTTAGATATCCGGTTGTTTTATTCATAAATATTTCAGCTTGTATCTTTCTGAAATATAACGACCTTTAAAACAATGCCATCATCCAGTACCAAGAATGACATCTAAAAAATGAACAGCTTTGGGGCGCCTGGGTGGCGCAGTCGGTTAAGTGTCCGACTTCAACCAGGTCACGATCTCGCGGTCCGTGAGTTCGAGCCCCGCGTCAGGCTCTGGGCTGATGGCTCAGAGCCTGGAGCCTGTTTCTGATTCTGTGTCTCCCTCTCTCTGCCCCTCCCCCGTTCATGCTCTGTCTCTCTCTGTCCCAAAAATAAATAAACGTTGAAAAAAAAATTAAAAAAAAAAAATGAACAGCTTTATAATATCTTCAAATATCTAGTTAGTACTCAAGTTCTCAACTGTTCATTAGCTATTTAAAGACTTTAAGCCATCCATGGGTGTCTGGGTGGCTCAGTTGGTTGAGCATCTGACTTTGCCTGAGGTCATGATCTCACAGTTCGTGAGTTTGAGCCCCCCATCGGGCTCTGTGCTGACGCCTCAGAGCCTGGAGCCTGCTTCAGATTCTGTGTCTCCCTCTTTCTCTGCCCCTCCCCCGCTCATGCTCTGTCTCTATCTCTCTCAAAAATAAACATTAAAAAAAAATTTAAAGACTTTAAGCCATCCCTAGGGACGAGAAGATCTACATATCTAACAGTACTGATAAAATCAGGGACTTTGAAATAAAAGGCATATGAAAAAAATACGTACAATTAAAAAAAAAAAACAGCTGACAGACTGGAAAGAAAAAGTGTGGTGACAGAGTGGCGGGGGGTGTGTGCTTACCACCTGATGCTTTGGCTGTGCCCATTGCCAGTAGTGGATCCTTGAGTTGTGGAGGGGGAGGTGTTTCCCAGAGGTTCATGTATGATGTCTTGTCAGAATCATGGGGCCTCCAGCAGGAAACAGCATTCCTTCAGTTCTCTTTGCCTCCTTCCCTTTCCTTTCCCTCCCCACAGTCACTATGGTCTCTCCTCACAGAGAGTAAGTCCCGCCAGCTGCAGCACATGTGGCCAGGCAGATGACCACCTACCACCTTTACCTTCTGCCTCCTCTGCCGGAAGGTCATATGGGCCTGCCACCACCTCTGCCACCTATACCACCGGCCCTGGCTCCACAGCCTCCTCTGATGTATAGTTGAGCCACTTTCAGGCGCAGAGATGGATGGCTCCCTCAGGTGTCCTGATGTGCTGTGCGGAAGTCTTTTGGTTCAGTTATGGATACTTGCTTTGTGGATCTGATTAGCTGTAAATTGAAAGGTGGGGAAGAAAAGGAATGGCTCATACCACCATGATGTTGATGTCACTTAAAAGAAAATATTTTAACCTGAATCTTTTCACAGACTTTATGGAAAATGTTTGAAGACCATGGAAATGACTGGTATTTTTATCTAGAAATAATTTGCAAGGTAATTTCTGCACCTCGAATAGTGCCGTGTAATATTATGCAGCTGTATATATTTGCCTGAACTCTGATTCCCAAATATCCATGTTTCTCATCATATCTTTGGCTGAATTTGCAACCAACATAAATGACTATTCATGTATGCTTCAGACAAATGCTTAAGAATTTATTTACAAGTCGTTGTAAAAAGCAAAAAAAGGACTACCAGGTTAAGGACCTTATTAAATTGTTGGTAGATCTGTTTGCCAGTTATTTTATGTTCATGAACACTAAGCGCAGCCTGATTTGTAGGTCTTGTATGGTACCACTAGAAACATTATTTCAGTGCTAAGTGCAGTGTTTTACTCTTCAGTTATTTTCGAGTATAATTTTTTTATATGTTTATATACACATCATAGGAACTATCCAAAAACCTTGAGCTGAGTACCAACAGTTTCCAGCGACAGTTGCTTGCTGAAAGGAAAAGGGCATATGAAGCTCAGGATGAAAATAAAGTTCTTCAAAAGGAGCTGCAACAACTGTATCACAAATTAAAAGTAAGTATTTAATTTCATATTTAATTTAATATAATATATATATTAGTTGAAAACACAGTATTTTAGGAGGAGATCCAACCTGGTGGAGAAGTAGGGGGACTCAAAGTTCCCTCATCCCTCAAACACAGCAGTGTTGAGGCCAAAAGACTTTGAATTCCAAGAGTCCGGGCTGCAGAATGACAAAACATCCTGGGGACCCACGGAGACAACCTGGCGGGTCATAGTTGCATGACTGCAAACTGGGAGAGATAAAACAGGCCACATAGGCACGGATGGGAGAGTTCCCCTTCTGTGGAGAGACAAAGGGAAGAGAAAGAGAGTCTGAGGAAGCATAGGACTATATCTGGACAAGAGAAAAACCACGGACTGGGATGGAGAAAGATCCATACTCTAACTGTAGGACTTCCTCTGGACTGGGGGCTGGCTGCCCAGTTTGCGCGTGTGGAGAGGATGGGAGCCAGCCCCTGGCTTGGTAACTAGTTCAGAGGCACAGTCCATGGTGGGAGAAAGCTACCCCCTCCCTGTATTGCTGTGGGAAGAAGGTATATAACCGTTTCAAAGGACAAAGATTGCCTGCACCCATCAGCCAGAGACCACTTATCGGTGGCATGGAGCAGTACTTCCCCAGAACTAGGGCATGCAGAGCAGAAGCCTTTAAGACGTCGGGATTTAAATCCCAGCAGAGTGCCAGGGAGGCATGAGAGTCGGCGGAGTGGGACAAACCGCGCATGTGGCACTGAGGTGGTGCAGAGCAGCACTTCCCCGGAACTGGGGTGCATGGAGCAGGACTGTTTAAAACGTCAGGATTTAAATCCCAACCAAGCGCCAGGTTGGCGCGGGAGTCAGCAGAGTGGGACAAACTGCCTCGTTCACGCCTGTGGCACTGCGAGGATGGCCTGAACAGAATGGTTTGGGACACCCAGTCCATGGAGGAGAGACTGGGGTGTTGCCATTTTTCTCCCCATCACCAACAAGGGGGGCTTCAGGGAATGGACAATGGGCCCACAGTGTAGGCTTGACCCGCCTACGCCAAACCACACCTCTCTGCACCTGGTAACTTCGTATCTACTGGAGCAGGATTGATGCTGTGGAACCAGACAGCCCCTCCTCCAGACCAGCGCTTCAACCGGTTCCAAGGCACCCAGCGGTTTTGCATTTTCTGATTTAATTCTTAGACAATTCTTAGTACATATACAGATTCTTTTCTTCCTTTTCTCTTTCTTATTTCTTCCTCTAGTCTGGTTATTCTGGTTGTTGGTTTGTTTAAGCAGACATATTTAATCTATTCTCTTTATACCTGCACCTCCTGGCAGGTATACCTCTTTATACCTCTTCCCCCCTCCTCCCGCCCCTTCCCAAGATTAACCCATAGAGTTTCTCTGCCTGGTCAGTTTTTTCTTTTTCCCTGCCCCTGTCATCTCTCTTTTTGTTTGGTATAAGGCCTCTTCCATCAATAATGCCACCACCTTTTGTTTTGCTGTAGCTGGTGTTTTTTTTTGTTTTTTTTGTTTTTCTGTTTTTTTGTTTGTTTTATTTTCCAGGGCTACTTGAATGAAAAAAAGCAAAGCACACCTGGTGGAGGGTCCAAAACATCACTACGAGTAGGGAGATAAAGAACCAGAGTCACAACAACAGAGAGCAAGTAACACACTCCAAAATACACCTCCTGAAGGGCCAGGCCCTGGGCAATGCATGACCCCTCTTTAATATAGTAGTGCTCATGGGTGCAGGACACATAACAAGCTTTTAAAACATAAGGGACAGAAAACTAGCCAAAATGACAAAACGGAAGAATTCTCCTCAAAAGAAATTCCAGGAAGAAATGACAGCTAAAGAATTGATCAAAACAAATATAAACAATATAACTAAACAAGAATTTAGAGTAATAGTCATAAGATTAGTTTATTTTGCACCTCATTTACGGCATTTTTTAATTCATCATGACTATTTTTTAGTTCCTTGATCTCTGCAGCAATGGATTCTCTGCTGTCTTCTAATCTTTTTTCAAGCCCAGTGATTAGAGGCAGTGACAGTGAGGATTGAAGAGGCAGAGGGGAGAATAAGTGAAATAGAAGATAAAATTATGGAAAAAAGATGAAGCTGAGAAAAAGAGAGATAAAAAAATTCTGGACCATGAGGGGAGAATCAGAGAACTAAATGATTCAATGAAATGGAATAATAACTGTATCATAGGAATTCCAGAAGAGACAAAGAGAGAAAGGGGAAGAAGGTGTACTTGAACAAATCATAGCTGAGAACTTCCCCAATCTGGGGAAGGAAACAGACATTGAAATCCAGGAAGTGCAGAGAACTCCCTTCAGACATGACTTGAATTGATCTTCTGCACAACATATAATGAAACTGGTAAAATACAAAGATAAAGAGAGAATTCTGAAAGAAGCTGGGGATATGCGGGCCTTAACCTACAAGGGTAGACATACAAGGGTAGTAGCAGACCTATCTACTGAAACTTGGCAGGCCAGAAAGGAGTGGCAGGAAATTTTCAATGTGCTGAATAGGAAAAATATGCAGCCAAGAACCCTTTATCCAGCAAGCGAGTCATTCAGAATAGGAGAGAGAAAGATTTTCCCAGACAAAAACTGAAGGAATTCATCACCACTAAATCAGCCCTACAAGAGATCTTAAGAGGGACTCTGTGAGTGGAATGTTGCAAGGACCACAATGGGCCAGAGACCGCACTACAAGCATGAAACCTACAGATAAACACAATGGCTCTAAATCCATATCTTTCAATAATAACACTGAATGTAAATGGACTAAATATTGCAATCAAAAGACATAGGGTATTAGAATGGATTAAAAAGAAAACACCCATCTATTTGCTGTCTACAAGAGACCCATTTTAGACCTGAGGACACCTTCAGATTGAAAGTGAGGGGATGGAGAACCATCTATCATGCTACTGGAAATCAAAAGAAAGCTGGAGTAGCCATACTTATATCAGACACACTAGATTTTCAACTAAAGGTTGTAACAAGAGATGAAGAATGGCATTATATCATAATTGGGGGTCTAATCATCAAGAAAACTAACAATTATAAATGTTTATGCACTGAATCTGGAAGCACCCAAATATATAAAACAATCACAAACATAAGCAATCTTATTGGTAAGAGTGTGGTAATTGCAGGGGACTTAATACTCCACTTACAACAGTGGACAGATCATCCAGACA